TCTCAAAATAAAAGGAAGTATATACTTTCCTACTTGTAATTCTAGATATGTATCTGTGTGCCCAATACTTCATCATGTCAAAATTATAAAAGCCTATGAAAGATCGCCAACCATGGAAAACATGCACAAAATATGCATGTTCTGTATTTCATACTTATTGCTATGAACTGCAAAGAGACCCAGTAAGAGATGACACAAGTCACTTTTAAGGGAACCACTAATCATAAAGCACTATGTTTCATAAACTCTATCAGTGAAAATATAGGCTGGAATCCAAAGAACAGTACAATTAGTTCCATGCGCTCAAGAGGGCTTTGAGCATGTGTTTCCCGAACAGCAGCTGCCATGCCACATGGCAAGCTTCTTTTGAAGATGAGAGGTGTTTCAAAAGCAGAGTCTGAGGCAACATGGGTTTGTTATTCAAAGAAAAAAAAAATCTCACTAGCCATGCCTTTCAAAAGGCTAGTGGAAATAAATGTGAACTAACAAGTCTTCTAGAATCCCTTGCTGATATTCAGGAACAATATTACAATTCTAAAGCAAATTGATGGGTACAGAACATTGGCAAAATTATGGAGGGCACACAAGCAATCAGGAAGATAGTTTTTCTTATAACAGTTTCATATAGCTGTTAAATAGCATTGAGGACAATCTGGAGCTTTGTGGACATTTCTGTTTTCTCATGTGAGAGCAGGGTGGCCATTTTGGATGCTGTGACCTCATGCGATTTCGCACAGAGATATCACCCTGAAAAACACAGATTTTGGAGGGCTGCAATCTCATGCAACCCCCCAAAATACATGTTTTGGGCAATGTAAAGGATGGCCCTGAAAAAAGGAAATATTATATGTTACATAACCTCACATCATGTGACTCACACAGGAGCATGGGTGGGAAGATACGTGTCCAAGTTCTGGGACTCAAGATGCTGGAGGGTATGGTTTATGGCAGTGTTTTTCAATCAGTGTGCTGTGACACCCTGGGGTGCCTTGAATGATGATCTGGGGTGTCGCAGGCAACACTGGCTTCTGTCCCTCTTCCCTGCCCACCCTCCTCTGATGTCCTTTTGCGTCTCTGCCTCCCAAAGGCTTGCACAGCTGTTTGTTGCAGTTGCCCTGGCTACAAGCTCTGAAGGCAAATGGTGCCTCAGGGGGTGCTGGTTGCTGGGAGCTGAAGCAGCCTCCGAGTAAGCAAGCAAGCAGGTGAGGGAGCCCAGCCAGTTAGTCCTAGCTGTTGGTAATGGACAAACAAGTCCCAGGCCACTGTGGAGCAGTGTGAGAAGGCACCTCTCTTTGGGGCGGGGGGGGGGAGCTCAGGGACCAGGGACAACAGTAGCGATTCCCCAGAGGACTCCCAAGGAGAGGGAAGAGGAGAGGAGGCTGAGGGAATACTCCACAAAGGAGGGTGTTCAACAAAGGGTGAGAGGCTGCTAGCTCTGCAGGCAAGGGGTGACATAACTGGGCTCCTGAGCCCCACAGGGGTGCCACAGAAAGAATGTAGTTGGTCAAGTGAGCTGTGGACTCAAAAAGGTTGAAAACCTCTGGTTTATGGAAACATTATGAATGCTTTAGTAAGCATGAATGTTTAAGATCATTGTCTATTAAAAAAAATGATTGCTGCAAATTAAATAAAACCGATTATACTTTTTTTATAGCAACCTATGCTAAGTGAACATATAAATGTGGGGCAGGGTTGATGCATCAAGACCTATATATTTAAATATTACTTTCTCACAGAAACCAACGTAACGTGCACAAAAAAATTAATGAGCCATTTCTTTAAAATAAAAATAAAAATCATAAAGCTAACCAAGCCTCACACTAATGAAGGTATACAAAATGCCCCACAACTTAATGGTATCTCACCAAGGAGCATCTAATTACATTCTGCTCAGGAGACAGCTTGTGTGTGTTGAAAAGAGTCGCGTAAAGAGTCATGTATCAATTTCCTTGTCAAACAATACTGTAGGAGCCTTAGGAACCTCTTCAGGAGACCTTTTAGAAGTCCTCCTTCTTTTGACGTTCATAGCCCTCTATTATTTCCTTTACACACTACTGTATGTTCCTAAGAAAAACCAACTTAATAATTCCCTCTCAACTTCTTTGTCACACTCTTTTATTAAAGAGACTACTCTAATATATAAATCTCAGACTGACCTTTGACCGCTCAAAAGAAAATGGATTGAAGAGTAAATCACTTTCATCTTTTATACTTGGGAGGAGAATGCAATAATTAGGGGGCATGGTGAGTTAAATGTTCTTTTCACCCTTAGGAAGAACACCCAGGTGTGCAAAGGAAGCTTTGAGATGAAAATAATTAGTGTTTCCTAATTGGAAATATTCTTTAACAAATGAAAAAATGTTCAAAATTTATATTGCTTTTTTTGTTTGCAGAGTGTGCATAAGAAAATCAAATCACAGACGTGAATCTTCGTAACTTTTGCAGGATTCAAACAGACATTACATGATGCAAAAATAAAAATGCATCTGTAAAAATAGATATTTAAATGACAAATATTAATACATCTAATATTTTGTTTCTTTCAAATAATACATGCAAGAACAAGAAAGCCTTTAAGAAGTCATCTTTTAAATATAATAGGGGTCAATAATGAAATTCTACTGTTGAGCTTCACTTTATGGGATTAATAACTGATTTGAAGCAAGAGTAAGGTTTTTGGACATGCTAGCAGCTTTGAAATTTCTTTAGCTCAATTGACATTTCGGTAACTTAGCCAGTATCATCATACCCCCTACTATAAATTTAAAAGTAGCAAGCTTAATTCTTTTGCAATATTTTTAAAGTGTCATGCTCCCTCTAGAAACAAATACTGTATGTGGCCCTAGGGCATTATATATAGGAAACCTTCAAGCCTCTGTTTCATTATTTATTTAGAATTCATCCTTATATTCCCAAGCTATACACTATATTTCAGACACAGTTATAATATTATAACATGTTGCCAGTAAAAGTTAACAGAAATTGTGGACAGTATGCATCAGAGCAAGGATTGTTCCATCAGAGCAAGGATTTCTGCTTGCACAGCAGAACTTCCTCCCCTCTCCTATCCCTGTACACTCCTTAAATCTGTTCTGAGGTTTACCCTAATGCTGGGGTAGTTTGTGGGATGACACAAGGTACTTATGGGGAGGGAAAGGGGGAAGGAAGTTCAATTCCACAAGCAAAAATCCTTGCACTGATGGAACAAGGTACCGCCCTCTGGTAACATCCAGGTAAATGTTATTCTTTTCTGATTCTAACTGTGCTCATCAGTTCCACTGCGGCTCAGGGGAGTGCAACAAACTTAGTGCATCAGCTGTGATTTGTCACTGTGTTAATTAATTTTGACTTTCTTCTTGATAAAATTCTACATGCTGCATAAGGAACCTGTGGCCTAGTTCATGTGACTATTGTCACCTTCATTGCATACCTTTAGGTGCCAGATGAAAACGTTTTTCTTCAACCAAGTGTTCAGATGATTAACATTCTATGGTTTTTTAAATGTGTTTGTGGAAGGGGAGTTATTGGTTTGTTTTAATTTCATTTTTGTTTTATTATGTATTGTGTATTTTCATTTTGTATTTGTCTGTTGTTAACAGCCTTGGGTGGTATACACATTTAATAAATAATAAAAATAAATAAAATTGTTAGTCATTTTTAATCAGTATTCTTCTGCCTCATTATCATTAAATGCCCAAGTAATGTCATGGAAGAGAATACAAAATTTGGTTACAAATATCTTGGTAATATAAAAAGAAGCTAAATGAATGAAAATGTAACAGTTTAAAATACCTTCAGGTATATAGTGCCAAGGCCATTTAGGGCTTTAAAGGTCAGCACCAACACTTTGAATTGTGCTTGGAAGCATACTGGGAATCAATGTAGTATGTCTTTCAAGACCAGTGTTATATGGTCCCAGTAGCCACTCCCAGTCACCAGTCTACCTGCCACATTCTGTATTAGTTGTGGTTTCCGAGTCACCATCAAAGGTAAGCCCCACATTTAGTGCATGGCAGTAGTCCAAGTGAGAGCATGTACCACTCTGGTTAGACAGTGAGCAGGCAGGTAGGGTCTCACCCAGTGTAGCAGATGGAATTGGTAGACAGCCACCTGGACAGCTGTGAGTCCAAAATGACTCCCAGGCTGCACCCCATGGTCCTTCAGGGGCACAGTTACTCCATTCAGAACCAGGGAGTCCCCCACAGTTGCCTGCCCTTCTCCCCCAGAAACAGTACTTCTGTCTTGTTGGGATTCAGCCTCAATCCATTAGCTGCCATCCATCCTCCAACTGCCTCCAGACACTTGCACAGGACCTTCACCACCTTCACTAGTTCTGATCTAAATGAGAGGTGAACACCCAGCCCAACCCCAGGGCTTCATATAGATGTTAAAAAGCATGGGGAAGAGCACAGAGCCCTGAGGTAGTAAGATAAATATTATTATTTATAAGAAGATAAATATTATTTTAATGAAAATGAAGTTAAAATAATACAGACTCTCCGAACTCATCTGCAATGTGTCTCATCCATTGCCTTATGTGTTTGATGGCATTTTCAGAAGACGTATTTTAGAACACAATACCTATCAAATATTTAAAAACCCCAACATGACCTAATTTGCACTAGTAAGAAGGTAAAGGTAACAAAGTATGTCCAGTTCCTTTGCTCACAAGGAGACAAGAGGGGGAGTAACTTGAAGCAAATTGTCATGGGTTTATCTCTATGATCTGCCTACACTCAAGCAGACAAACACAGCCTACAATTGGGAATAGAAGAATATAGATGGATGTTGCTTAAGCCTTGCCACTGAGTGTTTGTGGCTACCGTATTCATGTACTTATGTCCTTCACTAGACATGTATGAGACACATGTATGAGAAATGAAAGGATAAAAACAATTAAGATAATTAAGATAATTAAATAACTAATAATTAATAATTAATTAAGATAAATGAAAGGATAAAAACAATTAAGACAATTCATGGAAAAAAATGCCACTAACCCCCAACATGAGGTACTCCTCTGTGTTTCTTTGAGCTCTTGCTTGCTTTAACACCATGCAATGCATTTTCCTTAAACTGAAGCTCACAAAGTGTTTCAAGAAGAACGGTCATTTCTTCTGTGATGGTATCCAAATAAGTTTCATTAATAAACTTCAGTGTTGAAGAAGGGTCAATAATTCCGCTCAGTACATAGAAATCTTCTTTTATCATTGCACACAATGCAGGAATTGAGTTTTCATAACCATGAACCATCTTTTCAAAGTTTGTTTCACCCATGCTTTCTAGAACACATTTCTGTAAAAGATCACTAACCAATTTATTCTGCATATTTTGATACTTCCCCAGAACTTCTGCCTCAGGATATAGAAATAAAAGCTGCTGTAGACACCGAGTTTTAAACTGCAGTTGCTGTTGTAAGGTACCAGTTTTTGTTTCATTATGATTTTGCAGCTGGTTTACTAAGAAGCGCCGAAGATGTAATCTTACATCATCCCAAATATACTGTGTATCCATTGCAGAATCATCTTCAACACCATGAAGGGAAGCACTGGATATAAACTCAAAAGATGTCCCACTTGGAGTACAGGGAAATAAGACACCACATTGACTGGAGAGATCAAGAAGAAAGTGAAGAATAGTTTCTTCTTGGTTTTGTTCATCCTTCAGTAAGCTTTGCTAAGAGAAGATAAATAACAATATGCTAAGTTATGTGAATGACTCCATTTAAAGTAAACAATGGCTCTTTTGAAAAACTATGCAAATTACTGTTAATTACTGCCTACAAAATGAAATTTTCTAATATAGAATTCCCCTCCCCCAATATTCCTCCAGTTAGCTGATCCAATTCTCTTTATTAGTGAGAAGGCAAAAACTGTCATTCATTCAACACAAGGGACTTCCTGGACCTTTTTAAGGTACACTTGAAACAGCAGCTATTAGATCAAAAGAATGCATGGCCTGTACATTAATAGTGGTATAATATTTTGATAGGTTAATTATACCATAAACCACAATATCTACACACATCTGTATACATTTATGTAAGCCCTCTAATAAATTCTGTTGGCATGTAAAACTTAGTCTCTGTGTTAACACACAGGAAGTTTAGTATCAAAAAATAAAATAATATACACCTCTAAAATTCACCTTCAGAGAAAAAAGGTGTACGTAGCTTTGGGGTACTTCTGGATCATCTGCTGTCACTTGAGGCTCCATCAGCTTCAGCTGGTGGTCCAGCTGTACCCCTATCTGGACAGGGATAGCCTAACTTCTGTCTTCTATGTTCTGGTAACCTCTAGGTTAGATTACTGCAACTAGGTTAGATTACTGCAGCACCTGCAAGACAGTATACTTGAAGGAACATCTCCACCCCCATCATTCAGCCCAGACACTGAGGTTACAGGAAACCAAATAGGGGGCCTTCTCAGTAGTGGTGCCTGCCTTTTGGAACACCCTACCATCAGATGCCAAGGAAATAAACAATTATCTGACTTTTAGAAGACATCTGAAGGCAACCCTGTATCTGGAAATTTTTAATGTCTAATGTTTTGCAATTTTTTGTGCTGTAAGTCACCTACATTGGCTGGGGAAATCCAGCCAGATGGGCGGGGTATAAATAATAAAACTGTTGTTGATGATGTTACACAGTATACATAAGGCTGCCTCTGAAGATGGTCTGGAAACTTCAGCTAGTGCAGAATGCGGTGGCCAGGTTGCTCACTGGGGCAAGACAATCTGAGCATAGTACATGAATCCTGGCCCAGCTACACTGGCTACGTAGTTGCTGGGCTCAATTCAAAGGGGCGATTTTGACCTATAAAGCCTTAAACATCTCAGGAATGCAATACCTCAAGGACCACCTCTCCCCATATGAACTGGCCCAGACCCTGTGATCATCATCATCAGAGGCCCTTCTTTTTGTGCTTCCTACACAAGAGATCCAGAGGGTGACAACACAAAAACAGGCCTTTTCTGTGGTAGCTCCCCGCTTGTGGAATGCTCTTCCCAGGGAGGCCTGCCTAGCACCTTGATTGTATATATTTAGGTGCCAGGTGAAAACGTTCCTCAGGCCTTTGGCTTTGGCTGATTAACATTTTATATACTTTTAAATGCATTTGAAATTCTATAAGATCAAATATACATTGTTCTAATGCTAAATGTAACAGCGTTTACAGTAGTCACTCTTCTCATAGTCCAACTTCATTCTATTATGGACACAAAAGGATGAGAGGAGGTTGAACATTTCATATTATGCTGGGTAACATAATTGCCTTGAAAACTGGAAGAAAAATGTGAATTTTATTTTTTAAAGTAAGTTATGACTAATTCCTACAACTAAATGGAATTCTTTCCCATTTGTTCTGGATGGAGCCTAGATATTAGGAGTTCAATATGCACTCATTTACATGTGCATAAATCTAACTCAAATAAATTAGACATGGATGAATAAATGCAAAATTCCAGCCTACTAGGGCAGAAGGATTAAATAAACTTTCTCAAGAGCTTCTGAAAAACTTAAAGAAAATGAGCTGATTTGTGTAGTACTTTTTCGCTGGTGCAAGCAGTCTTGGCCCCCTGGCAATGCAGACAAACAAAATGGGTTGTTTTGGAAATCACAGACATGGCTGACAGCAATTTCCATGATTATGACAGCTGAACAAAAATAATAAATAACGGACACAATTCATTTAACTCACAATTGACTGTTTTAGTTTATACGTGAATCATACAATAGTTAGTCTATGGACTGTATGACTAGCCATAGGTATCTTTAAGCTTTCTAGAATTAAAATAAGGTCCCTCAAGGGGAGAAAATGTAAATTTCCTACCTATAAACTTCTATCTCCATAGGGCATTGAACACCACTGAGTTCCTATTGGAGCTCAAAGGCATAACCATGCAATTTGCTTCCTCCTGTAGGAGGAGTAGCCCACCATACCCAGACAAAACTAGAGAAGATCACAAGTGTATGAGTGTCATCAACAGCTTAAATCAGGGGTAGGCAACCTAAGGCCCAGGGGCCGGATGCAGCCCAATCACCTTCTCAATCTGGCCAGCGGACGGTCTGGGAATCAGCGTGTTTTTACATGAGTAGAATGTGTCCTTTTATTTAAAATGCATCTCTGGGTTATTTGTGGGGCCTGCCTGGTGTTTTTACATGAGTAGAATGTGTGCTTTTATTTAAAATGCATCTCTGGGTTATTTGTGGGGCATAGGAATTTGTTCATTATTTTTTTTCAAAATATAGTCCGGCCCACCGCATGGTCTGAGGGATGGTGGACCGGCCCACGGCTGAAAAAGGTTGCTTAAATTCACTCTCTTGAAACTCTGCAAAGGCCTCAAAAATGAATTCAACTATAAAACAAAGCCCAGATTACTTGTCACACTCCAGTCCCAAAACACATCAGGTTCTAGGAGCACTGACCCAATGGTGGGTGGCTTCTTTTAGAGGAAGAAGTAATTCTGAATAGCTCTACCTGGGAGCAGCAGTAGCAGTTGCCATCCTGAAAGTGTTCAATGCCCACCAGGGACTTTGAAAGGAAGGAAAGCTGTTTGTTTGTATACCATCCTTCATCTAAAGATCTCAGGGTGGTGCCAGAAGTTTAACAACCTCTTCCTGAATTCTGTTTCATCATATGTATTTTATTACTGTGTTTAGTTATACATGTAATATGTCTTAATAAAAAGGATTTTTTAAACCCCCTATTGGTTTCTCAAAGTACAATATTTATTTGCACTCTAGGAGAGAATAGTGTAATATTGCATTATATTACACATGAACTCACAATAATATAATTTTAAATAACAGGGCGTATTTGTGGGTAAGTAATATACAAATGCACAGATACAAATTAATCCACTCACTATTTTTGCAATTCCTAGAGCAGATTAGCAGAGAAATTACTAATCTTCAAGATATATGGGAAGTTATGAGAAATATTACATTTAAACAATCTTAACTTTCTGTGAGATTATCAAATATGCTATTTTATTAAAGATAGCATAAAAGCTCAATAGCTTTCAAACCAGCCAATCGGCTTCTTTCTTATGGAATATGAATCCAAAAATGTCATCCACAAGAAAGTGCTGCTGCTTTTGAAGCTTAAACAGAAATATTTTCAATTACAAAAGCCTACCTAAACCTAAGCAGTGTTCAAAGTCTTTTCAAATTGAAAATACATCCCTAAAATGGTCACCAGGTGGTTTACACACACCATTTTGGAGTTGGTACTCCTAAAAGAAGAGTTCCTGCAGCTGGCTTTGAAGCTTTGCAAGCTTAGTTTCCCATTTCAAAGTCTTTTTGAAAACTGCCTATGTTAAGGCAGGCTTTTGTATTTGAAAGTCAAGGTTTCAAAAGGCTTCCAACAGTGCTGCAGGTGCCTATCGGAAGAAATGTATCCAAAATGGTGGACGCAGGCTCTTTCAGAGTAGACTGTACATATCCTATGAGTGTATTTTATTGGTGGTAACCAAACACAATCAAGTTAATTTGCAAATATACCACAGTTTTATAAATGCTTGAATAAGCTCCTCACAGTTCAAACAAAAATTGTACTGATTTTTATTAAGGTGTTAGGATTTTCAGGCTAAGAATTTACATAGTATCTTACAGATTATTTGTACTTGTCTCTTCTTAACTGATCACTTTGCACATTTAATCTTGATGGATTACAGATCAGAATATATTCATTTTTCCAAAAAATATCAGAGGAATGAATTCAATGTTGTGCTAAAGTGCATTTTGGATTGCCAGATGGAATGATCCCACCCCTGGTGTGCTGTTTTAGGGGTTCTCCTGATTCCTGCCAATTTAAGGGGGGTGTGCATGGAAGGAGGAGAGGAGAGACAGCCCCATTGTGCAAGAGGCAGTCCTTGCATGGAGCTTCCACTGACAGGACTCATTCGCCGATACCCACTCAGAATCTAGAACTCTGATTTAACTGATTTCAGAATGTTTAAACAAAATGCCAGCAAATAAAACTTAATTACACAAATTCAGTAATAGCTTTCAATATGTGTGTGACAAAAACCTATGCTTTTTATTCTGTCTTGTATATTGTATGTTGTTGTTTAGTCGTTTAGTCGTGTCCGACTCTTCGTGACCCCATGGACCAGAGCACGCCAGGCACCTCTGTCCTCCACTACCTCCCGCATATATATATGTATATATTGTATACAGTGGATCAAATAGCTGAACAACTGCAACAGATAAAAGATAATTACACATGCCTGAATCATTTTTTTCAAGGAAGATGTCTGAAGAAATGAGTCAAATAGAAGTGATGAGATTTGAAGCTCTTGGCTAATTAACAATTTGAAAGTTAACAAATCACTGGATCCAAGTGACATCTACAGGGGCTCTTCGGGAATTCAATGTGAAATTACAGGTTTACTTTAAAAAAAAAGAAATTGCCACTAAAATAAGTCTTTATACTAATGGTTTTAAAGTCATTTTAATTGTTTAGTCTTTAGCTGAATATAATACCAATTTTTATGACGTAATAAAGAGAGGAGCAAACTAGGAAATTACAGGCCACTTAATCAAGAGGGTTCAATCTCTTTAAAATGCTTGTGATTATTTAAAGCCATAATAACAGTTCAGCTAGAATTTTACTGCAGATCAAGAAAAGTACCACCAATTTCAAGAGGATGCCAACAAGGTTAATGAGCTAAGACAAAGAAGCTAAAAGAGGAAAGAAGGTTTCCTTCAGAAAACAGAAGCCTTGTGCAAATGAACAGCATAAAGAGGAACACAAACTTTGGCAAGTAAAATACAAACACATAAAATGCAAAAAATGGGGGGGGGCACCCGAGAAGCATGTAATTAAACACATTAAGATCAATAATAACAAAATATTTAAATACCAGAGGCTGCACCCCTGGCTCACTAGCTTCAACTACCCCACTCCCTAGACCTTGCAGATACCCTACCTGCTGCCCCCTAGATCTCAATCCCTACTCCACTAACCCCTTAGAAGAGCCAGCCTGGCAGGAGAAGCACCCCAGGAAGGAGGCTTGAAGAGGTGGCCAGTCCAGGGATCTGCTGCTGACACCATCTTCCCCATGCTGATTCTTCATCCTAATCTGTGGCAGAAGCACTTTTCATATTTTCCCCTTTCCCCCTTTTTCTTTTCTCATTCTTTTATTATTTTTTATCACTAAGAGGACTGTGCACACATGAAGCTGATGGCTGGCTGGTGAAGGACCCTGTGTAAGAGGCAAGGAAGGGAAGATATCCCAGAGTGGGAGGTTGGAAGAAGAAAGGGAAGCTCTGAGGTGAGAGCCGGGAGGATCCACCCCCTTCTATGTGAGACAAGGATTAAGCTCAATTTTTGAGAAAGGACTTTGTATTTTCTTCACTCTATCTTTCTTTTTCTTTTTTTATCATTTAATTAGCTTGTTTCTTACTGCATTGTATGATATTCAATTTTTTTTTTATAAAAGAAAATAATTTTCAACTATGGCATAAAACAGTAGCATTTTTACCAGCGTTTGGAGAAACTTGATCAGTTCTCTGTGAGGGGTTGAAGATGGCTTGATTGAGCTGAAACTGCAATTATTTAACCACTGAAGGCAGTCAGTTGTGTCTTGTAGCAATTCATCAGGACAAGTTTCATTTATTTCTGATTGTAGCTCCTTAAGACACTGTTCCATGCTAAAGTAGAAAAGAAGCAAAAATTAAAAATGAATACTTATCATTTACGGCAAAGTATTCAACATTAAATAGCATTATATTATATAACACTTTAATTTACCATATTAACAGTAATTTAGTTTTACGGACACTATCAATGCAGAAGCCTGTGTGGGTGAGCAGGCCTTACTGTGCATGTGTCATTATACAGTTGGGGTTAATCACCACCTTACAATGTTAAAAACAATTGGATGTGTGTGCTTTGTATCAGCAATTTCCATCACTCCTAAAACAGGGATTATTTTATCCTTTCTACCCTCAGGGGTAGGAAATTACTGAAGTTCACTGTAATATAACAGTGGTGCAGGAGCAGAGCCAGTCACAAAATAGTGGCAGGTTTAATCAGCTGGTAATTACTGACACCATTTTCTACTAATATGTAATCCATTTGGGGGCTGAATTCTTTGCCACAGTGTTTTCCTGCTGAGACAAACTCCACTCCCGTCCCTCCCACCTGCTAGAACCAGAAGAGGGCTGAAACGAGCGCAGTAGCAACAGGTGCAGCTTCCAATTGCTTGGGGAAAGCCCTGGAGAGGAGGAGACTTACGCAGCTGTGGGGAGGTGGGGACTTTCAGTCTTGTCAACTGATTAATGGGGTAAGACCTAATGCGGATTAGCTGCTGTGTTCATTAGGTCTCACTAATGACAGTCAACCCTGTGAATATCATGTTTTTGCTAATAAAGAGTTAACTCCAACTCTGAATGGTGTGATTTACTGCCGACTCACTCTTTGACACCCATGGCTCTTCAGCCGCCTGATTCATCACTGCCTCTTGCCCTCCCTCCTTTCACTTACTTCAGCTTCTGCCTCCGATTCTTGACCTCTCTGCCACAGACTCTCCCAGCTCACTAAGGCCTGTTACTCTTTAAGCTTTCAACACCTCCTGTTCCCAGCCTTCTTCCCTTGGGGGTTCCCCAGCAGTTTCCCCCATCATTCCTCTCCGTCCCACCAGTCTACAACAGAGAGTTACAATTCTCAAGGGTTTCCTGAAAAGAAAGGATTGAAGGGTAAACCGTTCTGAAAATTGCAGCTCCGTGGCAGACTAGGGGTCTCCTAACAACTCTCAGGATTCTTTGGGAAGCCATGGTTGATGTGCTGATTGTATCATTTTAAAAAAAGTTCAAAAATATCTAAGCATTGCAGATGCTATCTAACCTGATAAAGATGCAATTCCCCCCTACTGGATCATCCTCTGAAACCATACTAATGACTATAATATATGAAAGCGTATTTAAAAAGTAATCAAATATGGGTGGCATATCAAGCACATTAAAAGGCCTTTTCAAGAAACCTTAGAGAAAGAATGGGTTCGAAATGGTGCCCCTGAAACAAATATCTTATTTTTATCAAAGAACCTTTTCATGAATTCAAGGACTTCTATGGAAAATAATACCCTATGGTCCACACTCAACTTCCAGATATAATATACCATTCCAACACTAGTTCTAAATGTGATAAAAGACCAGGATGTATCTTCGTAACTTATTTAAGGCTGTCACAGGAATCTGAAACTCAATGCACTAGTCATAGACTTTGGTTTCTGGGACATTTTGTCAAAGACTTCTATTGTAGTATCTAATATGTCTCACTTAATCAAAGTTAATGAATTATAGCTTTGTGAACTGTAAAGGCTCAACTATTGTTTGTTACCTAAACCTGGTTCCATTAAAAATAAGGTTTGAGGCTAATCTACCCGATAAGTGATAATCAATTATTACAAGCCACTACAACCCTTTACAGAACAAAATGTTTCCAATAATTTGTCCTAACATTGATAGGATTAGGATTAGGCACAGAGACATCACTTTAGTAAAATCCACAATGTTTCATCATAGCAAAATATATCTCAGTTCAGTGCCAGTTTATTAATAGGCCACAGAACTCCAAATTCCAATAAGTATAGTCACAAAATCTTCTAACTCATTTAGCAAATTAATTTCTGACTTAATATGGTGCATAGCAGTCTCAAGGCTGAAGTCTTGCCAAATAGCACTGAAATGTTTTTGAATTTAATGAACCATGCATTCCACGGGGCTTTCAGCACTATATCCTTTAACCTATAGTGAGGGACTTTCCCTCACCTGAATGTCTTGGTAGCAATACAATGTATACTCTCTCAATGTATTCTGTTATTAGATCTGACTCTGGTACTAGTTTCTTGATCCAGGGAAGTACGTTTCATTTTCAGAATGAAATAAGGATAAGTATATAAGTAACTGATGGAATTTTTAAAATCAGGTTGCAGCGCTACCAGAAAACTACCTAACAAAAGCAGTAGCGATCAGCATAAATGTAACTGAAATTGACTTCTGCCCCAATACCACACAGCTTACCTAGAAGCATTTTTCTTTATTTTCTCATCAATGTCACCAAGTATCTGTTGAAACTCCAGATCTCCAGGAAGTATGTTTAACAAACAATCCAAGTTGGAAGAATCAAGAGAATATTCACCTCCCCACTCCATTTCCAAATACTAAATTAGATAATAAAAATAGAAGTTAAATAGTAAGATTAAATATATTTGAAAATTTGATTGCACAAATGCTAAATGATAAGAAAAATGAAGCATACTGAGATATACAAGACCATGTATAGTGAGCTCCTCCCTCAACAGTCAAAATGCAGCAGAGGGAGATAGCGAATCCATCATCTATGCCATGGGTAGGCAAACTAAGGCCTGGGGGCCAGATCCGGCCCAATCGCCTTCTAAATCCGGCTTGCAGACGGTCCGGGAATCAGCACGTTTTTACATGAGTAGAATGTGTCCTTTTATTTAAAATCCATCTCTGGGTTATTTGTGAGGCATAGGAATTTGTTCATCCCCCCCAAAAAAAATATAGTCTAGCCTCCCACAAGGTCTGAGGGTCAGTGGACCGGCCCCCTGCTGAAAAAGTTCGCTAACCCCTGACTATGCAGAGAAACCAGCTACCTCAGGCTCCCTGGTGTGCTTACGGCCAGCTCTCAAAAGCCAGCACACTAATATTGGTTTCTTACTAATTATTGCAAAATTCCCAAAGGCAAACTAGTCAATGCAATCCTGTCTGTAGCACACATTCATATCCTGTAAACATCCAAAGGTCAGTATAGCTAATTGCCCCAAATAACCTTTTGTCTGCATACATACCTAAGATATAAATTCACACGTGTGTGTACTAGCCCACAGGCAGATCTGGTACAGAGAGCAGGGACTGTATTTTTTGTTACTGATCTCATGTAGGTCACTCTGGAATGGAGGGCCTGCATAACAAGAGTCCAACTCACCTGATGGGCAGAACCAAGGCAAAAGGGTGGCTAAAGGCTGGAGAAGCATCTGTGTCCTCACCAGAGGGCATAGGTGTCACATCAGTGTTCAGATACTATTCTCTACAGAAAACAGAACACATAAAATTCATATTAAATAATTAGCCACCAAAAATAATTCATATTCAACATAGGCTGCAAAACTGTTTTCAAATGTTTGAATTTATCAATACCGTATTGCTTCTGCAAAGTGCTCATGCTTTGGTACACTTTTTGCTGATTATAAGAAAAAGAAAACATCCCATTTGTGTGTTTTCTACAATACGAATTACAATCTATTGTGAAGATACAAACATTGTATTTGCCAATGTTAAAGGTACCCCTGCCCGTACGGGCCAGTCGTGACCGACTCTAGGGTTGTGCGCTCATCTCACTCAAGAGGCCGGGAGCCAGCGCCGTCCGAAGACACTTCCGGGTCACATGGCCAGCGTGACAAAGCTGCACTGGTGAGCCAGCACCAGTGCCGCACACGGAAACGCCGTTTACCTTCCCGCTATAAAGCGGTACCTATTTATCTACTTGCACTTAGGGGTGCTTTCGAACTGCTAGGTGGGCAGGAGCTGGGACTGAACGACGGGAGCTCACCCCGCCGCGGGGATTCAAACCGCCAACCATACGATCAGCAAGTCCTAGGCACTGAGGTTTTACCCACAGCGCCACCCGCGTCCCATAATTTGCCAATGTTAGGTTCATGCAATTTCCTTGGTTTATTATGGGAATTAAAACAGAATTTCAGAGCGTGTCTTTTTAATAAAGTAATCAGTAAATATTAGCCAACATATTCCCCAGAATCTGCATTCATCCATTTAAATGTTTTTTTTCAAGCAAGGTACAAATCTACGGGAAAGATTCAGGTCACAGTTTCAAAACTTTTTTTAAAGTAGGGATATATACTCAATTCTAAAAGTTCATACTTGATGGGACAAGCATTTATATTATATTCAGCAACAGGAAGCAAAGTACAAAAAGTAACGTGAGAATCAGCTCATGCTCTGGCACAATCATCCAAAGGAGACCTAATACGATGTATCAATTTACATTTACACCCTGTTGCCATCTGCAGGTTCACGTCAGCTTCCAATATTTTAAAAATGGCAAGAGATAAGAAGTGGCAAGAAGTAACAAAGGAGGCTAAATTAGGATAGATGCAGATTTGTAAAACTATCTGCTCTTCTTTAAGCACAGGACAGCTCTGTGACTGGATATAAGAAACTGAATCAAATAAGGTATTATGGCTTTGTCCACAATCCCAGGAATGTTAAAAGAAAGGCTTGGCAGGTTATAATTCAGTGAAGTGCAGCGAACATAGAACAATAGGTACCAAATTAGCATGCCCATTAAAACTCTGAGGATCTTTAGAAGTTGCTATTTTAGGCTGGAGATGACAGCATTCTCAGAGTGTTGACCAGTGGTATGGTAGAGGCATCACTGCCAACAGTACGCTCACATTTTGTAGATTTCTAGAATGCTTCAAAATCTGTTTTATTAGAAACAATGAGACAATATACTTGAGCATGTGCACCAAAGGCAATGTTATCTATCATATCACCTTCAACTATTTTAAAATACTGTTTGTCTAGCCAGATTTATTAATAATGTCTTCAACATACCACTTAACTGACAAGTATGATCATACTAAACTATGGCTGCCAATTCCTGACCACAGTATGAAGCTCTGTCATCTATCAACTAATCCCTGATATTATATCTGAAATTGTACAGTGGTACCTCGGGTTACATATGCTTCAGGTTACAGACTTCGCTAACCCAGAAATAATACCTTGGGTTAAGAACTTTGCTTCAGGATGGGAACAGAAATTGTGCGATGGTGGTGTGGCAGCAGCGGGAGGCCCCATTAGCTAAAGTGGTGCTTTAGGTTAAGAACAGTTTCAGGTTAAGAACGGACCTCCGGAACGAATTAAGTACATAACCAGAGGTACCACTGTATTTATTAGAAAAAGTATCCCCTTATGTTATATTCTGCTGCACTAAGTTTTCAGTGTTGAAATCATTCTTTATTAACATCTCTGAAACCAAACAGAAAGAAAGGTTGAAGAAGAGATCCTTGCACTCCTCCTATTATTGTATGAGCCCATGTCTCAGACAACTATGTGGCATCTGTAAGCTCCCATCCACAGATTGAAGCAGCTGAGTTGGAACATAAGGGGTAAGACAATTCTTTATCGTTATCAAGCCCTCGTTGCCTCAAATGGCACCCTCCTGTAACTTTGTCAATGAATAATGAAACAATTAACTACTTTGTACATTATAATCATAAAGTATCATATTTACATTTTATTCATATTTATGAACAATTCCTTAAAATCACACAAAGTAAGTAGCTTGATTTTAAAACTTCATTCTTCTGCATGGGAATAATTTGAAGAGATGAAGGGTGCCATTCAGTGCTGGGCCAGCAGGATTCTGCTGATGCAATGTGACTTCTCTCCCCTGTGCTCCCAGAATCTGCTACACAGGGTCTCCCATACCTCTGAAGCCGATTTTGAGAGTGTGTGGAGCTGGAGGGTACAAGAGAGGAAAAGGAAGACATACACATATACAAGTCCTTTGAGCCAATAGAGCTGCAGCAGGGAAAATGGCCCAAAGTTTCTGCATGAGGAACTCCTGAGCCATTCCTCACCACTTCCTGCTATAGATGTTTGTATCTCCTCCAGCCAAAAACTGCTATAGAAAAACTTGGTAGACTCTGGGGCAGCCTGTGATGCAGCACAGGGAGCTACAGCTACAACAGAGAATCCATAGAACCCCAGTGCACATGCATAAGCAGCTGCATGCATTCAGAGGCCTCTTTAGTTTCTGTCTCATATTTCTTCTTTGGTCCTTTACTATTGAACACTATATCATAATATTCAGATTCATGAATTTTTGTATTCCAAATTCCTCGCAGAATACATAAGCAGAAAAAGAAACTATCATAATTTCCTTCCCTATGTAGTCATCAGTTTCACTTCATTTGACATTTCTGCTACTAGTTATGTTATAGAGAAGGAACATGGACTATGGGTTTATATCAACTCGGAACTACTGAAATTGACTTTTTAAAACAAAGAGTACATCTCCTAGTGTTTGAGAACCCAACTGTAATTCAGTTGTACTGTGTTCACTGCTTAATGTGTCTGAATAAATCTAACATTTAAAATCTATCAACTTAGGCATCATGATCTTAGCCACAAATAATAGAGAGTGTCAGTGTCAATTTTGCTCTCTCACACTCACTTCCCTTCACTCCATCTGATTTTAATAATCCTTGTCAAGGCACAAACTGTCCAAATTACCTTCTTGACACAGAAGCTTTCATGGAGGAGACAGAATCTCAACTTTCATTTAGTAAGTACAAAAGAAAGCTGTCCAGCTGGACAAATATTATTTCCAGTCTTGACAACTTCAACAGTAAATCATGTATTTTAATTTTAAACCAAGGCTGCCAGGAGTTTGCTATAAACTGCTTGTTTAATGTAGATTCATGGGATTAGTAGGTAAACAGCTGGGACTGTATTTTAAAAAGTAAGACCAAATAAAATGAGTTGCACAGAAAAAAAATTACAGAATGAAAGAAACATCATATATAAAAACTTATAAAAAGGGGAAGATCAGAAATAATTTCAGAAACTTATGTTTTCAGGAGAGGAACCATAAAATATTTTACAAACTCTCTACTTTGCTCAATCCTAATACCTGCCTCACCAATAGTGCTGAGGGATGATGTGATAGCATTGCGCCCCCTCCCCAAATGACACACATCATTGTTGGCAAATGCATAATATGGAGAGGCAGAATGGAAGAGATTTGTGAACTGAATTGTTCTCTAATTGAAATCCACAGTATTACTAACTCTTGAAAAACAAAGTTCTGGTATCTGGTTGCAAAGTTCTGGTATCTGGTCAGCAAACCTTTTGAGCAGGGGGACAGTCCACTGTCCTTCAGACCTTGTGGGGGGCTGGACTACATTTTTTGGGGGGGGAATGAACTAATTCCTATGCCCCACAAATAACCCAGAGATGCATTTTAAATAAAAGCACACATTCTACTCATGTAAAAACACACTGATTCCTGGACCATCTGCGGGCCGGATTTAGAAGGCGATTGGGCCGGATCCGGCCCCCAGGTCTTAGTGCGCCTACCCATGAGCTACAGCATATGCTTTCAAGTCCTTTGCCACCAAGTAATACTAGCCACACATGATGCCAGCCGCCACAGCTCAATCACAAAATCTAGAGTACAAAACAAAACAATGTTTTGGCTCACACCATGCACGCAGATATGATTGTGGGTCTCCCCTTGCTCATGGAGGATGTACAACACCACTGCCTTCAAGGCAGTGAAAATTCTTTATTTTTTAGGACAACACAGCTTTTTCCAACATTTCTAGTTCTGCTATTTGTTAAAGTTTTCCTTCACCACTTAATTTGCTAAGCAACTAATGAGATCACAAAACTGGCCAGAAGGCTGCTGTATCTGAATAGAAGACAGCCTAAGAATCTGATTTATATTACTTTCCAGTGTCACACCATATAACAAACAATATTCCTACAGAGACATAGTATAGAAAGTTATTTTCAGAAAGTTTATCTGAATTTTCTAAGAGCAATTCTCTACAACAGAGGTTCTCATCTCCTCCCACTTGAGAAGGTGGAAAAATATGAGCCCAACAGTCACAAAACTGATGACCCTCAGTCAGAAGGTACAGGATGAATCCAATTACAAAATGGTGGCAGGTAAAGGCAGAGTTTGGCATAATTGGTTAGTAATTACCAGCATCATTTTGTATTGATATCTAATCCCATTTTGGAAATTTCAAAATTATTTGCCATTGTGATTTTCTTGGGGCAAGGAGCTCCACCGTTTAACTTACTTCAAGTTAACTACAAAAGCTATATTTGGGACTAACTGAATTTTGCATGTAACCCAGACACTGAAGTAGTAGTCTAACCTGTAAGTTAACCAGAGCAGGGATAACCATGGCCAGGCACCCTTTGTCCAGGATTGGTTATAACTGCCTTGGCAAGTGAAAGATGCTGCATGCCATGGCTGCCACAACCTCTCATTTCAAATCTGGATCTACCAGCACTCAGATGAATAAAAGAAGAACTGAATGCTGGTGTCATCAGTGTACTGCTGCTACTTTAGTCTTTCGATAGCTACATCCAAAATTTCCTGTACATGATGAACAGCATGAGAGACAATACTGAATCCTAAGTGACCTCCAAAACACAAATCCCACCTTCTGGAGTTGGTCCACCAGGTAGCACCAGAACCACAGAGGTATAGCATACCAACCCCCCGGCCAGCCTATCCAGATTCTATAGTAAATGGAACTGAAAGCCACAAAGAAATCCAGAATTAACAGGGCCACACTCCACCCATCCTTCTCCCAGTAGGGGTTATCCATCAGGGTGACCAAAAATGCTTCAGTAACAAAACCAGGTCTGAAGCCAGATTTAAATACACCCAGATACTGAAAGGATTTCAATTCCAAAGCTCTTATTAGCCCGAGACCTAGATATCTCAAGGATTGCCTCCTCTTAAATGAATCTTCTGTTCTGTTCAGAGGAGGCCATGATTTGAGTCCCCTCACTATTTGAGGTGAGGAAGCTGAGTCATGGGACATTACACCCAGGCCAAATAACTCAAGGATCTTGTTTAGCAAAACTGCCCCTTGCCTTCTGGTGATCCATTAAAATGTTCTTATTTTGGAAGGCATTTGAGGTAGGCTTTTTAGAATGATCCTGATTCTGAAGCTGCAGTGGTTTTTCGTCATTTTGCCTGCTTTTCTGATTTTTGGTTTTGTGATCTTGCTAAATGTTTCGTTCATAGATGGATAGATTTGTTTCAGTTTTGTACTTTAGGTATCTTTTGAGTTTTATCCCATTAGCTGACTTGAGTGCTTTTGGGAAAGCAGAATGGTAAGACAGAAATATTTTAATCAAATACAGTTTAAATAAACAACATTTCCATAAAACAAATGCAAAAGAATTGCAAGTGCAATTGGTTGGCAAATATAATGTGTCAAATAACAAATGTTATGCATGTGTTGTGTTATTAAATAATGGGGCTTATATTTAAAATAATGAACATTTAAAATCTTAATTGCCTTGAATAGAAGGAAATTAAATATAGGAATCTGTTTCTGTGCTTGGTAGGGGCAGACACACAAACAAAGCATTGGTAATTTAGCTGGAAGCACCCCACCCTAAAATAGAGTTTCTAGATTTTTAGTTTGAGGCTCAGAATAAGCTATTGAAGAAGCTATTTATGTGTTTTAGATGTGCCATTCAGTTATTTTTCCTTTAAGAATTTAGCAAAAGAAATGTGAAAGCCTAAGTGAAAATGACATTAAGGTTGTGACACCAATAACAAAAGCCAAGATATATAAAGTTAAGCTGACAGTCAACCTTAAATCATGCTATTGTGCTTATTCTTTTTAAAAAACAACAATATGAGTTAATGACAAGATGTCAGACTTTGAATTGCCTGAAGTTTGTCATTTGGTGTATGTGTCACAACCTTAATGTTATTTAAATGTAGTTTTTAGTATCTATTATTTAAAAGGTCTATTTTAAGACAGCAAAAAGCTTTGATAGAGGAAACCTCAAAGTACACCGCGTTACTGGTATGCCATTTCATTAGAAGTAGTGCATAAAACATACATTGTTGACAAATCTAATTCATTAAAGGTGAGATAGATGCACTTTAAAACGACTGGCTGGCATCATTATCTACGGTTCCCTTATAAATTATTACTCTTTTCCTTTTGACTGAACTTGTCACTATTTACCTTTCAGAGTATGAATCTTGTGCATCAGACTTGTTTAGAGAAGTTGGAAGTCAAATAAGCTACTTTCTTTAAGCAGAAGCAAACATTTTAAACAATTTCCAAAGAAGTGGCCATATTTGTCTGTTGCTGCAAAATCAACAAAGCATCTTGTGGCATCTTAAATACTATGCTTGAGCACTATAGTCCACTTCAACAGATGCTTGAAGTACTATGCTGGATTTGTCTACTCTGGATAAATTACCATATTACAGGACCTAATAATGTCATCCACATTCATTTATCTGATCATCTTCCAATGTGATATATGTGATTTGCCAACAAACTGGCCTCATGGATCAAATTGGAACGCCTGACAGGCCAATATTGATTCCCCACCACTGCTTTGGATAACATGACAATCAGGTGGTGAGGCCCTTCTGGTTGTACTGCAACCTCTGTAAGTACAATAAACAGCCACTAGAGCAAGGACCTTTTTCTGTGATTGGGTTAAACCACAGAGTCTAGGACTTGCTGATCGAAAGGTTGGCGGTTCGAATCCCTGTGACAGGGTGAGCTCCCGTTGTTCGGTCCCAGCTCCTGCCCACCTAGCAGTTCGAAAGCACCTCAAAGTGCAAGTAGATAAATAGGAACCACTGTCCAGCGGGAAGGTAAACGGTGTTTCCGTGTGCTGCACTGGTGCTGGCTCGCCAGCTGCGGCTTAGTCACGCTGGCCACGTGACCCGG